AGCAAATGAGGACTTGCATCTAGAAACTTCTCAATACATATTAAAGTTTTTGAATAATTCAATTCAATAAATATTTACACCAATATTACTTTTCTTTAAATAATCTTTTTCTATACTATTAACTACAATAACTGATACTTTTCACCCCTTCTAGAGAGATCACGTTTTTCTCTCTTTGTTTTTATTGCCAAGTACATAAAAGTTGTAAGAAAATACTGTACAAACATGGAATTTTCTCTATAATATTAAGAATGGGCCTTTTTGTTAACAAGGAAAAAAATTTCCATCGGTCCCTCGAATTTCCTGTAATAAATGTATCATAAACGCCATTTTATATGTCATAAAATAAACATTATTCCGAAAATAATTGCGTCGTCTCAGGAAAGCCTTTTTCCTGTTGAAATTGTTTCCAGGAAATTGTATCTGTTTAGCAAGAAGGTTTGTTCTTTTGGGTAAAAATTAAAAACATATTTTTATAACGAGTTTTTAAGTTGGTTTTATCTCTAATCGTTAAAATTTTGGATTAACTTGGGGGTTTAAAAAGAAATTAAATATGTGGATCATGTTTCACTTTGAAATTATTTCGTAAAGTGGAGTAAAAAGCTAATTAAAAGATTTGTTGAGTTAAATAAAAGTTTATGGAATATTTGTATTAAAAATATATTTAAGTATTAAAATAAAATTTCATGTTGTTATATTAAAAATAGATAGATCTCTTTGATAGATAGATAGAATATGTAAACACGCATGGAAAAATGAACATAGGGTTCAATGGAAGATAAGAGAGAGAATAGGAGAAAGAAAAAAATAATTTTGGAGTTCTTTTGGGTTTTCTAATACGTTTAAGCTTAAGCGTGACATTACAGATTAGTGGGTTTTGGTCTGATGTGACATCTGCTCCTGGATATGTTTTAAATGATCTGCAACCTGCCACCTGCAAAATTTAAATGATTCTAATCTTCTGATCTATTAAATACATTACTAGAGTTTATTGAAATATATAAAAGATACATATTCTCAGAAATTCTTAGTTTTCGGTACCCCTTCAGAGATGAAATACAAATTAATTACTATTTAACTGGGAATAAGCCACAATTAAAGATAAAAATACGTTTATTGACGTTTCAATTTCCACTTCGGAAATCGTTTCTCAAAATGCAAACAGTAAACTAAACAAATTTTGTTTTTTGTTACATAGTGAAAAAATTCTTCTAATAATTTAATTTTATCTGACTCATTTATATTGACAATTCAGACATACATTATGCATTTTAAAGTAGACGACTTATGTCGTCAATGATAAAATGATATTGCCAATATTGTTGAGTTGCGCTCCTGGAACGACTTTACTTATAAGATAGTTCATTCGATTACATGAAACCAACTTTAACTTGAGAATATCAGTCAGAAAAAAATCATAGCATGTAATTCGTCTTTAAAAAGACAAACACATGACATGATGACAGTAAAATTCTCCTGTTAGTGATTCCATAGTAAATGATGAGGGAAAAGCCAGGAAAAAAACGTCATAATACTATCCCGACATGGTAAGTATTTGTTCGTGCATTTAGTTTACCTTCAATAAACACCAAAATTCTGAATTTATATGTTTCGTTATTTAAAAAATATAAATGTTGTATCCTCTATATGTTACTGACTTACTAATACTGGTATTTTCTTATTAATAACTTTCTCTTTCAATATTGGTAATCAGATCCTACTACATTCTACCGAGGAATTTGCGACACAATGGGCCTCATTTAGCATAATTAGAGCCGCTTCTTTGATTTTTCTCTTTTTACCATCCGTTTCTTTTAGGACTACATTTGAATTATTCCATTGAACCCTATGTTCATTATCCCATGCGTGTTTACATATTTGAGATCTATCAAATTCTCTATTTTTAATATAATATTTATGTTCACTTAGTCTAACATTTAATGGCCTTGATGTTTCACCTAAATAAAACTGATCGCATTCACAAGGTATTTTATAAATGCAATTCTTTGTCTTTTCTTGTTCATTGTTAGGTTTGGTTTTGGACAAAATAGATCTCAACGTGTTTGTTGTTTTTAATGTTGTTGAAATGTTTAATTTATTTTCTATCCTTTTAAGTTTTTCTGATAATCCTTTTATGTACGGTATTGTTATTTTCCTTGTATTATTTCTTGTGTATGCTGTAGGATCTCTGTAGGTAAGTTGTTCTGTTCTATTCGATTGATTGTTGAAAATTCCTTATTTATAAACGATAAAGGATAATCATTTTTTAATAAAACAGATATTAACAAAATGTTTCTCCCCAAGAACGAATTTTCGTTAGAACAAGTAATTTTGGCTCTATCGTATAAGGATTTAATTTATTCCCTTTTTTACATTAACATTGTGATTTGATTTCAAATTTAAATATCTATTGGTGTGTGTTGGTTTTCTATACACCTGAGTCTCATATCCAGTATCGTTCTTAGAGATTAAAATATCCAGGAAAGGTAGCGTATTATTATATTCCTTTTCCATATTAAATGCTATTGTCTCTTCTTTATCGTTTATATCATTTAGGAATGTGTCCAACAACTCTGATCCATGAGGCCATTTTGACACTACATCATCTACATGCCTCCACCATACTGTGGGTTTTAAATGTTGTTTAGAAATGATATTTGTCTCAAAATCTTCCATAATATATCAGCTAAGAACGGAGATAAACTAGAGCCCATTGCTAGACCAAAATTTTGTTTATATAATTCATTATTTAGTTAAAAATATGTATTATCAGTACATAATGTTAATAACTCCATTATAATGTGTATGTCTGAATTGTCAATATAAATGAGTCGGATAAAATTAAATTATTAGAAGAATTTTTCACTATGTAACAAAAAACAAAATTTGTTTAATTTACTGTTTGTATTTTGAGAACGATTTCCGAAGTGGAAATTGAAACGTCAATAAACGTATGTTTATCTTTAATTGTGGCTTATTCCCAGTTAAATAGTAATTAATTTAAAATGCCACAAGAAAATAGCTTCAGAACAATATGAAATACAAAGTCAACATGTACTTAACAACTTGCTGATTTATTAATAATAAAAAATCATTTTATGTCATGCAGCTTTCCTGAAGTCTGTACTGCATTAATGTTATTTGTTACAATACTTTTGACTCCAGCTATTGCTGAGAGGTCATTTTCGAAACTAAAATTAATAAAAACCTATTTAAAAGAACTCTATGGGACAAAACAGATTACGAATCTTGGCTATTCTGTCTTTTGGAAGTTCCATGGCCTGATTTTTAAACCTTTTGATTGATACTTTTGAGAAACATAAAGCTTGGAGAAAAAAGAATTTTATTAAAAAATATCATTTTAACATTAAACTATTATTTGATTAGAAATATATAATACTTATCCTGTTGAAAATCAAGTAGTTAACTAAAATAGACACAATATTAATGTTAAGGCTGTTTTATCGGTGCACCAAAATCTACGAACTGTTATTTACCGACAAAATGTCTCGAAATTTGGACACAATATTCGAAACTGTGTTGCTTTCAAAATGATGGTTTTACTTTTTTTATTGTTTTGTTACTTCTGTTGAAAAATTGGATTACACAGTTTAAAGTTCTATTATAACCAAACTTTTTACGCCCATCACTTGAAAGAGTTTTTTTTCTGTAATCGTTGATTTTTTTCATCTTTCTGTGTCCAGTAATAATCGAGAAAACTTTGAAGAAAATTGCTAAAAAATACTAAAATCTAATAGTGAAACGTGTTACTCATCATTGTCGCGTTATCGCCTACGTGACTTCAAATCTCATGAGCGTACGGTCAATTAGTTCGTGTTAAAACTAATTTGAATGGAGAGTTATGCATTTGTTGCCCGTTGGCCGACGCCACTGAGTAAAGATAGTCTCGCGTAATCAGTGTAGAAATGTAAGTGATACGCCCATTTCAAATCGCAGTGTGCTTGAACTGCTAAAACAGCCTTAATAGTAATTTCTCAGTGATTTATTAAAATTAAATTACAATCCTTAAATTACAATGAGTCTCAGATGGTATGGCTGCACCACTGACGCTATTATTTTGATAACTTTAATTTTTTTATAGAAAAGCCTCATTTAAACTTATCAGGTATTTTCTGCTTTATTTTTACAGCCTTTTTTAACATTTTTTGTGCGTCTGTGTACTTTGTTTGATCATGTCTTGCTTGTGTTAAAGTCTATTGCCTTATTTCTTTATTTTCTCCATTAAAACAATGATCTAATACACCTAGGACCATTTTACACTTTTAATTTAAATTTTTTATTTATTACTAATTAACCCAATAAAACTGTTTTGTTAATTAATATAGCATGCCTTTTTACAAAATAACAATTATTTTCTGCAAACATTTCACCTGACACGTGCACCATCCCATTATTTTACCCAAACAAATTCTGTTTTCGTTTTCCGCATATAACCAACTTTGTTAATTTATCATCCTAGCGTATACCTTTATTTTTGTGCACATGTAAATTCTCGTATTCGAATAACAAGGAACAATGGTAGAAGTAGAATAGTTTTTGAACTACCATTACAAAGGTTGAATAGTAATTTTCATTTAAATCTAGCTCATTTTGAAAACACTTTTGCGGGTTACACTGACAAAAATTTCGATTTATATGATAATTTTATTGTATTTTTAATACATAAATAAAAAGAGAGAGGAAATTATGAACGTCTTAGGTTGTAAAATCAAAATCAATTAAAAATGTTGCTACGTAAAATGGTGAATGCGCCGGTTTAAGAAATGTTTTAATATTTTTTATTGCCTTGTTACGAAGGTGACTTGATCTTTTAATAATGCTTTTCATAATGTGTTAATGTAGAATTTATTACATCAATGATTTTTTGTGTGTACATATACTCTACAATCATTTTGCTAAAGTTCTCAGGTTGATTAATTTTTTTTTATAATTTACTTTTATACCTAATATTTTTTTTTAATTCAAAAGAATTGTTTTAGTATGGATTCGTAAATTATGCCCTTGAAGTGTTGGTCGTGAAAAATTTTGGAGAAGAAACATGGGAAATTATAAAGTAAGTACAAAAATTGTGGAATCTTTTAAATCGGGGTATAGAGTGATAACTTTACAAAAAAATCTCAGTTTATTACTTCTTTATAACATTTTTCGACAAAATCTTAGCTCTTCATTTTGACATCTATTTTGACATTTTATTTAAGTTATTTTGTAGGATTTATGAGACTATTTTGGGATTTTTGTTAGGTGATAGTATTGCCGTCTCATTCGCAAAAGTGGCTGTGGTGATATTTGTATCTGTTGGTAGATTAGCAGTAAATTTAAGGTATAATTTGGGTCCTGGGACGCTTCCTTGGGGCACCCCAGCAAGAATTTGATGTATGCTTGCAACCCCAGCAATTTGTTGGTAAATTCTGTTTTGGTTTACATAAGAGACCTTTATGCCAGCCTTTATCAAATGCCTGGCATATGTCCAGGAATACCGCTGAACATTACCTATGATTTTCAAAGTCTTCATTGATTCTCTCTACAACTTTATTTAGCTGTTGTATTGTTAAATGTTGTTTTATAAACCCAAATTGGTGTGATGGTATTAGTTTTATGTTTTCTAGTATAGGCATTAGCCTAGTGTCAGCTGTACAAAAATATGGAAACCACTGGAAGATACATTTGCTGGTTCTTTTCCTGGTTTTAGTATAATCGTTATCTGTGCTAATTTCGATTGTGGTGAGAAATAACCTAAGCTCATTATATGGGGTTAACTAACTGTGTCAGAAATTGGAAGCCATCCTCTGGGATTTGCTGCAGTGATTTTTCCAGTAATAAGATCGTATCTGGTGCCTTTTTTAAATCGATGTTGTGTTGTAGAATATTTTATTCCTCATTTTTTTTGTGAATATTTTTTCAGGAAGTTCTAGTTAATAAGGTTTTACGAGTACTAAAATAATCTCTTCAGTTTGCTGTAAGTTTCGCCCATTTTCCTGTAAGTGTAATATATACACAGATATAAATAATTTGATATAATTAATAAAACTGTTGCTCATGTCTTCTTTTTTTCATATAGAAAGAAAGCAGACTTCCAGATGGAAGGACATTTTTTAGTCAGACAAATTTACGAAGACGAACTTACCTATAATCTCATAGGAGCTGCTGTTGAAGTTCTAAGTAAGGAAACAATATATTTATAGAAAATTTAGGTTAACAATAATGTGTGACCATTTTTACAGTTCTCTTTTTATTGTTTTTTTTTTATTGGCTTTGGATTGCTTGATCCAAAGCCAATTTAAAAACTTCCTATAAATAAAACTTCCCTTTATCGTTATTTCCAGAACTTTCCAGATTTATTTATATGACCTTTTATTTAAGTATATGAACATCAAGTATAACTGCTACTAAGTTCCGTTTTCGTCTTGAGAATGCCCTTCATCTATGTTGTGGTTCAAAATATCTGTATTTCTAGATCAGATCCAAAAAAATATGAGTTAAATATAATTTATATAAGAGTCAAAAGGGGGCCAAATTGCTTTTACTTAGTAAAACACTAAGTATTAGTGAAGTAAGACTGACGAAGATCAACTTATAGTACAACAGAATGAACTGAGCTGTAAACGAGAGAAATTAACAAATATAAATCACCAAAGCAAACTGTAAAAATATAACTTAAATATATATATATAACTTAAATATATATATATATATTATATATATATATATATATATATTATACTTAGAATTAATTTTATATTATTCCGAACCTGAAATCTTTAGCGGAAAGTAACTGCGAGACATTCCAAGGTAACATAGAGAATATTTGGAGACAGGAATACAATCGAACAAGATCTTGTGAATATTGATATGGAAACTTTTAAAATGTGAGTAATTCAAAGACTAGTAAAATTTGCAGTCCAGGACAAGAACAAACAAACCGTTTAGATGTTAACAAAAGAGTTTGAGGACCATCAAAAATGTCTATATTATGAATTCCTTAATAGCTTGGCAACTACAAGAAAATTACTCTTATCTGTTGAACTTTTCCAGTTGCTTGAAGGGTATTTCAAACTCTCCAGCTGTAGATTTCGAAACCTTTGTTACAGCTTAGCTACCAAAAGGAAATAAATATTTTGTATAAATTAAATCCTATTTTTAAACAGTCTTAAATACAAAAATATGTGTATTGGAAATCGTATCTGTGAACCATTGATATTGTGAGTCTGTGAACGTCTTTGAAACATTTTGTCTCCCTGTATTTTTGTTCAACTGTGTATTATATGTATTTATAATATATTTGATACAATAAATATATTATAAATATTGATTGTCTATTGTATTTTCTAGAAATTCCTGCAAACACAATATTAGAACTATTCGGAAAAACATTTTTTGAATTTTGTCAAGATTCCGGATACGATAAAATTCTTCAAGTACTAGGCGCCACACCCAGAGATTTTTTAACAGTAAGATTCGATCGTTTCCATTTCACAATCACCCAAATATCTGTACAATTACATACTTTTTAGAATTTGGATGCCTTGCACGATCATCTGGGCACTCTATATCCTGGTATGAAAGCTCCGTCGTTCAGGTGCACCGAAAGACCAGAAGATGGAGCACTGATCCTTCATTATTACTCTGATAGAGCTGGGCTTGAGCACATTGTAATTGGAATTGTGAAAGTACGTATTTCAATGTTTCTAATATATTTTAATAGTTCCTGTAAAAAATATCCAAATTGTACAGCATTTTGTTACATAACTTTTTATAGTTTATGATATTTCCCCATTAAAATTTGTATTATTTTTATTTTATTTGAATTTGTATTATATAATGTACAGTAATACACTATTCGTATATTCTTATATTGGTATTATCGTATATACGAAATTTGAAATAAACGAAAACTTAAGTAAAGGTCAAAGAAGATAATACAGAAACTCAAACTATTAACCAAAAAAGGGGGAAAATTTAACATGTCCTTATGTTAGTTGGAAAAGAAACCCTCAAAACACTTAGGGAAAAAGCAAAACCTTGGGTGACAGTTGAAATTCTTGAACTTCTTGAAATTCTTGAACTTGAAAGAAGTGGTTACCTGAATAATTACAAGAAGCTGATTCGGATCACATTTTGGTGATAGGCGACATGAAATTGAAGATACTTAAAGATAAAAGCGACAAAAAGAAAAGAAAGAGGTGGAATCGGTCGAAACTAAATACAGATAATGCAAACAGAGAATTCTGCACTAAATTGGAAGAAAAATTACTAGTCCTAAAACCATCGAACATAGATAAAACATGGGAAGACATAAAAGATAGTATCTTAACAATAGCAGAGGAGGCGATAGGACTAATGGAAAACAATAAAAGAAAGGATTGGTATGATGAAGAATGCGAGCAAGCTAGTAAAGACACGGACAAAGCAAGACACAGGTGGGTGGCCACAGGGAAACAAGAAGATCTCCTACACTATAAAGAGAACAAGAAAGAGTCAGACAAATGCTGCAAAAGAAAAAAGAAAAAATGGATCGAAGAATTACTGCAGGAACTCGAAGCCAATAGTAATGACAATGCAAGACTATACAAATACATAAAATCACAGAGAAAAAAAGAGATACCAGCAAATATTGGAAAAATAGAATGGGAAACACACTATAGAGAACTGTTTAAAAAGAAAGACGATGCTGAAAACGCAGAAAATGAAGAACAAACAGAAAATAGGAATGGAGAACAATCAGAGCCTCCCTCATACAGCGAACTATTGGCGACTATAAACAGATTAAAGACAAGGAAAGCACCAGGACCCGACGATATTATAAATGAGTTCTTTAAGAATGGGGGAGAGGAACTAGCCCACAGAATCCACAACCTAATAGAACGAATATGGGAAGAAGAAAGCATGCCGAACGACTGGAATTGTGGTCTGATAACACCAATCCCTAAAAAAGGCGACAAGACGAAATGCACTAACTACAGGGGAATCACGTTATTAAATACAATGTACAAAATATTAACTAATTTGATCAGACAAAGAATAGAAAAAGAAACTAGAACAAAAATAGGTGAATACCAACATGGATTCAGAGAAGGTAAGTCAACAATAGATGCAATACACATTGTAACGCAAATAGTCGAAAAAAGTTACGAGCACGGAATAGATCTACATATACTGTTTATTGACTACAAGCAAGCTTTTGACAGTGTAATAAGGGAGGAGCTAATTAAGGATATGAATCAATTAGGCATCCAAGAAAAATTAATAAGTCTCACGAAAATGACGATGAAGGAATCCAAGGCACGAATCTTAACAAAGGAAGGCCCGTCAGATGAAGTACAAATGGAGGTAGGTGTCAGACAGGGAGACTCCCTGTCAACAACATTATTTAACATTGCCATAGAGGGCGCAGTAAGAGCAGCCAAAATTATGGGAACGATTATCGAATCTTCAGCCCAACTGATTGCGTATGCAGACGATATTGCACTGGTTACTAGAGATTTAAAAACCATGCAGAACATAATATTAATACTAGATAAAGAAGCAAAGAAGAGAGGGCTAGTAATAAACCAAAGCAAAACGAAATACCTCAAGTGTTCAAGAGAGAATACGAACATAGAGAAAGAAATTAAGCTTGGTGCATATACATTTGAAAGAGTACACCGTTTCAAATACCTGGGAGTGATGGTAAATGACAGAAATGATAGAACAGATGAAATAAATGAACGCATCCTACTGGGTAATAAAACCTACTGGAACTACCAAAAATTCCTGAAAGAAAAACACATTAGTAAGAAAACCAAATTAAAAATTTACAAGACTGCAATCAGGCCAGTGATCACCTATGGTGCAGAGACGATGTGCCTAACACAAAAAGATGAAATGAGGTTAGAAATCTTAGAGAGAAAGATAATTCGACGAATAATGGGGCCGGTGAGGATAAGTGTAGGCGAATTTAGAAGATTAACCATGAAGAAATTAAAGAAGTCATCGAGGGTGAAGACATAATCAAGTTCGTTAAGACGCAAAGGCTCAGGTGGCTGGGGCACACAGAAAGAGCTAACCCAGACTCTACGCTAAAGCGAATAACTGGATGGAGACCAACAACAAAGAGACCAAAGGGGAGACCCAAAACAAGATGGAGAGATCAAGTCTTAGGAGACATAAAGAAGCTGAGAATCTACAATTGGAAGGAGCGCTGTAAGGATCGGAAAGAATGGAGGAAAATTGTAGACAGGGCCAAGTCACACACGCTGCTATAATAATAAAAAAAAACAACAGCGGACTGATTCTCCGCAATAAATGAATCAGAGAGCCCAAAAGGGCGGCAAACACTCCGCCAGGAGTGAATAAGCCATGATGATGATGAATTATAAAGAAATTCAGAAAAACATCAGAAACAAAATTCGAAAGGTAAAAGAGGGGTGCCTTTATTCGTGGAAACTATGGTTTTCTGTCATTTTGAGCTGTACAAAATGTGTAAAACTTCAAAATAGCCACGGTCGCTTGAGTGAGTACCGATACTAGGACTAAGGTTTCTAGTTCTTTTTTTAATAAAAATTTCCAAAACACCTTTTCCTGTTTTGTTTTGTTACTGTATATTTAGAAATATATATATATATATATATATATATATATATATATATATATATATATATATATATATATATATATATATATATTTTATTTAGAATTTCCGCATCAACCATTAAAAGTTATTAGCGGGCTTTACAGATTTTACAGTTGTTATTACAAATACAAATTTACTAATTACAAATTGCGTATTAAATTACACATAATAAATTACAAATTACAAAGAGATACATATAATATAACTTAAATTTTGTGTAGTAAACGCATGTCCTTAAGGAATTTGATTGTATTAGATACATTACTGTTTAAATATCTTTAAGTTTCTTTGCTTATACTGGTACGTTGTTGATGGCTCTTTCGTAGGAATAAAGAGGACATTCAATCACTACATGTTGAACAGTTATTGGACATTCACAATAGGAACATTCAGGTGGTAGTTCTTTTGTTATGAGATGCTGGTGAGTTAACGCTGTGTGTCCAATTCTTAGTCGGTTTATAATCACTTGTTGCCTTCTGTTTTCTGGAAATTGTAGTTTATGTACCAATCCTAGTTTTCACGTTTTTAAGATTATCCTTAGTAGAATTCCACATTTGTTGCCAATTTTTTACACAGTGCTGTTTAATATTGAGCTGGATATCAATGAATGGAATTGTAGTCATAATTTCAGTTTGCTCGTCAGTAGCAGCTTTCTTTGCTAATTCATCTACTTTTTCATTTCCTGCGATACCTGTATGTGATGGTACCCAGAGAAATGTAACGTTTACGTGTCTGTTTTGTAGGTGATAAAGTGCTAATTGTATTTGTTGCAGGATAGCATGTACTAGATATATTTGCCTTAAGCTCTGAAGAACAGATAAAGAGTCAGTAGTGATAAGAAAATCTGAGCTCGCATGACTCTTACACATGTCTAAAGCCTTTAAAATGGCGATTGCTTCTCCAGTGAAAATGCTGCAGAATTGAGGGATGCGAACTGCATATTCAGACTTTCCTAGAATAAAGGCCGCTGCGTGTCCGTTTTCAGTTCTTGACGCATCGGTAAAAATCTTGTTATGGCCAGTGTATTCTAATATCCGTTCTTGGTATAATTTGTTAATAATTATGGGATTTGTGGTACTCTTTGGATAGGCCGTGAGGGATAGATCAATAGTGGGAAAATTAATAGTCCAGGGAGGTATAGTTCGTTGTGTAGGGTAAGAATGTGTGAGCTGCTCCATGTCAAAACCGTATCTCGTTAGACGTTCTTTAAGGGGTGGATATTTAATTTGTTGATGGCAATGAGTAGGTGGATATATTTTATAAAGAAGTGGATAGTTTGTGTTATTAGGGTTGGAAGACAATCTCGCGGCATAATTTAAAGAAATGTGTTGTCTTCGTATTGATAGGTAGAAATATATTGAAAATATCTTATTTTTAATGCTTTTCAGACAGTTGCTAGCCGGCTTCATAATACAGAAGTCGAAGTGGAAGTAATACAAACTAAAGATGAAAGTGATCACGTGCAATTTCTTATTACAGAGAAGTTTGGAGCAAAAAAGTCCCAATTGCGGGAAATGGACGAGATTGAAACTCTGTCATTAGGTAAAAATTTTACATTTTTTAAATTTTGTCCTTTATCGAGTTTTTAGTTTACGATTTTTATTTTTACTGGATATTTATAATTTTCTATTTCTTCTGTTATTCTATTTTTACAAGATGTTTATTGCATCATCAAATATTAATATTATCAAAAAATTTATCAAAAAATTGATCCAAGGGCTTCTGGGATTAGTCATAAAGGTGTACCTTGAAGAACATGTATTTATTCCTTTATATATAATTTCTTCACATTTAATCCAACAATTATTACATAAATAACTATCTAAATCTGGCCAAATTAATTGTCTGAAATACTGATCTAATTTAATTCTATTTTACTAAATTCTTTGATTATTTTTTCATCGATTGCAATCAGTAATGTCCAACTAAGCTTGTGTCTGAAGAATTACATGGTCCGAAATACCTATTGGTGAAAGATAATGACTTTCACTGATAAGTTCTTCCTCATTAGTGATTATTAAGTATAAAACTGAAGGTGTATTATCTTATTGTTAAAGTTATTTAAGTTCATTCATTACCAAAGTTATAGTTTAATTTTATGAACGAGAGAGTAATTAGCATAATTTTAACTGGTACCTTCGACCACTCCATGGGCGTGCTCAAGATTAATTGTTAGTGTTATAAAGTGTTATGTGTATGTAAACAAAAGTGACCTCTTTTATCACACACTATATTAGAACTGACTGGCCTACATTAAAAAGGGTTTTAAAAAATTCACATTTTTTTTAATTTTTAAAAATTACAAAAGAGAAAAAGAGTTTTTAAAACCGTCTAAGATATGTTAAATAGATGAATAAAAATATTAATATAAAACTTACAGCTACTTGTTACAAATCCAAATCAAATTCAGAAGATGAACTTTCAGAACCAAGATTTATAATAACTGGCTCGATCATTTTATCAGTAATATTGTCCAGCTTCCACATTTTTTCCTCTTCTTTAATAGTGTGATTTACTGCCTTTTCCCAGTTTTCAGGTTTTACATTATTTACGGCCTCCAAAAACAACTGTTTAACATCATGATTTTTAAAAGTGGTATTTTTTCTTGAAACTTCACTCTTTATCTGTGCCCATACCAGTTCAATCGGGTTTAATTCACAATGATATGGTGGGGATCTAAGTACTGTCATTCCACGAATTTTTTCAATTTCATCAATTTCGTATTTTTTAAATTTTTCTTTATGAAGAACACACAACGAATAAAGTTCCTTTCTTATAGATCCGGGATGGTACGTAATATTTTTTTAACTCAGCCAATTCTGCAAGTCTTTTTTTAACCACTTGGTTGTGGGCAGTCCTTCTATAAGTCTGGAGTGATAACTTGCATTATCCACAGTTGTATTATTACACAGTTCTTAGGAAGAAGATCTATCATTTGTTAGAACCATTCTTGAAAGACATCAGCGTTCATGTTTTCATGGTAGTCATCGGTACGAGTTGATTTAAAAGTTAATAAACCACCTTCAACAAAATCGTCTGAACTGCCAATGTCTACTATTATCAGCCTGCGTCCCTTTCCTGATGGTGGGTTTAAACCAGTAGATCAGTTATTTACAAAAGCGTGCCTTTGACTTGTAACAGTTTCATCCTGCCAAAATTTATTTGGTGTATGACCCTCGTTGATCCATGTTTCATCAAGATAAAATATTTTTCTTTTTTGCTTTCTCATTTCCTTTGTGGTTCTTATAAATTGTCTTTTCCATATGACAATATCGCTTCTTTTTAATAAAATAGACTTTCTGGGATTCTTTTTCCAGCGGAAGCCTATTTCTTTTAAAAGTTTCCATAACGTACTTCGACTCATTTCTGGGTAATCCTTATCATCTCGAACTGAGACAAGAACTTTATCCAATGTTGGAAATTCTTGTCTAAAGAAGAATTCATGCACTTTCCGTCGAAGTCCTTCTTTAAAATGATATTCTATTTGAAATTTTGGTTTTCCTGGAGCATTACGTGGCATTTGAAAACTACCACATTTCTCTTCTTTAATAACTCTGTAAATCGTAGATTTCCCAACACCAAGTGTATTGCTAACTAACTCAACGGTCTCATCAACACTTTCACATAAACGTTTGTCTGTAAATTATTTAAAACAATTAAATATTAATGTTTTTTCATTAACTGTTAAAGGACCAATTTTTCGGCGTTTACACGGCACTTCCAAATTTTCCATAACACTAGTATACACAATAAACTCACCTTGCAACTGAAGTACCTACTTTTAGTGAACTGTTAAGAATTTTGAATACGTCACTTGGACCTTCCTACAAAATGAAAACACCCACTATCACATTTTCTGTGGAATAAGTTTAGAAGGTAATTATCTAGTCAATTACTGTCGTAGATTCCTGGAATTAAAGAATTAAATGTTTGATTGTTGAAACACTTACTTCGTGGAATGCACTCATTTCAGATAAAATAAAACGTTTTATTTTATCTAAAGAATTAAACTTTATTTTGCAAATAGGTAGGTACTTATTAAACTTTTATTGGTTATATATAACCAATAAAATAAACATCTTAAATTTCTTGCAAATTCATTAGTACCTGTTAGCCTCCATCACTCCGACACTGGCAACCTTATTTAGGGATTAGTAATCCTCACAACTATTGTATTCTATTCTGCTCCAACCTTTATACCTGGTGGTCATACTCAATTTAAAATTGTTTTCCTATATACTTCTGTAAACTTGTTGACAAATATCTGTTTTTCATTGAGTCACCCGTATCAACAGTTTAGGGATTTGCATACATAATTTATTGTTTTATTACTCTCTCATACATAAAAATACACTATAGTCACTGCATAGACCATTGACACCGAGATATCAATGCAATTCTTGATCTTAAAGAAATGAATACAATAGGTTAGTTCTTTTTGCAAGACTTACCTATGCTTTAGAAGTTTTTTATATACTTAAAATAGATTAACATAACCAAATGAGATTTAACTTTGAGGATTATTATTCTTCTTCTTCTTAAGGTTCCATCTTCTAACGAAGGTTGGATATCAACATGGCAATTCTTATTTTACTTACAGCAGCTCTAAATAGTTGGCTAGAGCTCAGACTAAACCATTCCCTTAGATTTCGTAGCCAGGAGGTTCGTCTTCTTCCTACATCTCTTTTACCTTTTATTTTGCCCTCTATAATCAAAAGGGATTATAAAAGGATTATTATATTACTCATATATTACAAAATTAACCAAAAGGGACTTAAACGTGTTTTTATTATTTTACTTGCATTATTTTATTTAAAGGAAATCAAATAATTGTATACAACCAGTTAGACCATGTAGTTAGTAATGACAATGACAAACCTATCCACAGATGAAAGTTTTATTTCACAACGAACTCCACATTTTTTTTATGACTGGATATATAATACTTGGTTTCTCATCTGTTTGATTTTAGAACCAAAAGTTAGCCCAGCAACATTCTGTAGAATCTTTCCTTTCCACATAATGTTTGACGCTGAGATGAAGATCGTCCAGACGGGATTCTCGGTAGCAAGAATCATTCCAAAAGTGAACTCAACTGGATGTAAAATAACGGATATATTGGATCCAGTAAGTACTTCTACGAATTTTTACCTAATTTGTATTAAGTATTAAAAACACTAAAACTCACAACATGGTGGAGATATGTAGATGGCATCCTTTTATATAGATATATACGAATCAGATAGGTTAAATTAAGTTAGGTGATTCAGAACGCAGATGATAAGCGGGATGGATCTTTCTTTTACGATGAACTGGACGATTTTGTTTTGTAGCTTTCAAGTCATGCAAGGTTCCTGGCAGAAACAGGATACTGTCTGAGGCGATTAAGTGCCTCGTATAGACGACGTAGCTTTTTGATTATAATAAACGCTCTGCTTATAGACAGGTATTTTGCACAGTTTTTGAAGATCTCAGAAGTTAGTCCTATACATAAAGACACGATAACTAACCTAACCTAACCTAACCGATGGACAGAATACATATCACAACTGTTTGATGACAAAGATAGACAAGAAATCTCAAACGAATATACAGATGATACAGGGCCTGATATAATCAGAGAAGAAATAGAATATGCAATCAAACAAGCAAAAAGTGGTAAGGCCCCCGGTTCTGATGAAATTCCCGTAGAACTGCTCAACTTATGGACGATGAATCTATTAAAATACTCCTAGATCTGTAACAATAAAACACTGAAAACTTTGTTTTCAAACTTCCACAAAATTTATTTTAAATATTATCACTACAGCTGTTTCGGCTGATTGCCTTTCTCAAGTGATCTATTTTGGCTTGGGTTTACAAATTTATAGTCTCTAATGAAATAGGTTGAGGAGGGGAGAACTGTTTGTCTCAAGTTGGTCATTCAGAATTATATCTGTGTTTTTTAATTTGTTGATTTCCATAGATTCTAACAAAGATAGCTTAAGGCCTTTATTTTGAATGTGAAGAATTTTAAATTTGTCATTAAAAGAATGATTATGATCTAGAAGGTGAAGTGCGTATGTCGAATCTGTTTTTCTATTCTTGAAAGCCCTTTTATGTTCTGCTATTCGTTTATCAAAGTTTCTACCAGTTTGACCGATGTAAGTTTTTGGGCAGTCGCCACATTGGAGTTTGTATACACCACTATTTAAGTGTTTTTTATTTTGGCTCTTGTTATTTTTAATATATTTGCCTAGGTTGTTATTTGTTCGGAAAGCTGGTGTTATTCCTTTCTTTTTTATGTGTTTGGCAATTTTTGTTGTTATTTTTCCTGTATATGTAATCGAGCAGAAGGTACTGGGTTTTTTCTCTGGTGGTGGAAATACTAATTTCAGGGCTTTCTTGTGTAGTTTTTGTTTTAACATATTATTAATTGTTTGTTCGTTGTATCCGTTGTTTACTGCTATTTGTTTAATTATATTTAATTCTGTCTCAAAGTTGTCTTTTGACATCGGAATTTCTGTTAATCTATGTAACATACTATGATAAGCTGCCAGTTTATGTTGTGTTGGATGGGATGACGAATTGTGTATAGTCGTGTCAGTATGGGTAGGTTTATGAAATATGGAGAAGTCATGTTTGTTTTGAAATCTGCTAATTTTTAAGTCTAAAAAATTTATGGATTGATTTTGTTCTGTTTCTATTGTAAATTGAATATGACTATGAACTGAATTAATATATGATAAAAATTGGTCGAGTTGCCTGTTAGTTCCTGTGAAACATACCAGTACGTCGTCTACGTATCTCCACCAATATAAAAACTGTTTGAATACGGGATGTTTTGAAATCTTTGTCTCTAGATGATCCATAAAAATATCTGATAACAATGGGCTTAGAGGATTACCCATTATAAGTCCTGCACTGTTATTTGTATATATTTTATTATTAAATTCAAAGTAGTCCTGGTTTATGCAAACTTCAAGAAGATGTAAAATTTCAGATGTAATTATTGGATTTGTACTATTTTGGTCTAAAAGGTTTTTTACTAGAATAAAAGTTTCTGTAGGAGGGATACTAGGAAAAAGATTTTTTACGTCAAATGAAATTAATCTGGAATTGTTAGGTAATTGAAAATGTTGTATTTTATTAACTAGTTCTATTGTATTTTTTATGGTAAATTTAGGTGAAAATTTAGTGTGGTCTAAAATAATCTCTAACAGTTTTTTTGAAATTTTATATGACGGAGCTGTATAAAAAGAAACTACAGGTCTTATTGGGTGATCGGGTTTGTGTAGTTTAATGAAAGAATATAATTTAGGAGGCTGTGGGTTCATAATATTGAGGTATTTCTGTTCTATTGGATTTAGTATTGATTTTGAATTTTCTAACGCTAGCTTAGAAGATTATTTAGAGATTAGAGATCAGAGATTATTTTAGACCACACTAAATTTTCACCTAAATTTACCATAAAAAATACAATAGAACTAGTTAATAAAATACAACATTTTCAATTACCTAACAATTCCAGATTAATTTCATTTGACGTAAAAAATCTTTTTCCTAGTATCCCTCCTACAGAAACTTTTATTCTAGTAAAAAACCTTTTAGACCAAAATAGTACAAATCCAATAATTACATCTGAAATTTTACATCTTCTTGAAGTTTGCATAAACCAGGACTACTTTGAATTTAATAATAAAATATATACAAATAACAGTGCAGGACTTATAATGGGTAATCCTCTAAGCCCATTGTTATCAGATATTTTTATGGATCATCTAGAGACAAAGATTTCAAAACATCCCGTATTCAAACAGTTTTTATATTGGTGGAGATACGTAGACGACGTACTGGTATGTTTCACAGGAACTAACAGGCAACTCGACCAATTTTTATCATATATTAATTCAGTTCATAGTCATATTCAATTTACAATAGAAACAGAACAAAATCAATCCATAAATTTTTTAGACTTAAAAATTAGCAGATTTCAAAACAAACATGACTTCTCCATATTTCATAAACCTACCCATACTGACACGACTATACACAATTCGTCATCCCATCCAACACAACATAAACTGGCAGCTTATCATAGTATGTTACATAGATTAACAGAAATTCCGATGTCAAAAGACAACTTTGAGACAGAATTAAATATAATTAAACAAATAGCAGTAAACAACGGATACAACGAACAAACAATTAATAATATGTTAAAACAAAAACTACACAAGAAAGCCCTGAAATTAGTATTTCCACCACCAGAGAAAAAACCCAGTACCTTCTGCTCGATTACATATACAGGAAAAATAACAACAAAAATTGCCAAACACATAAAAAAGAAAGGAATAACACCAGCTTTCCGAACAAATAACAACCTAGGCAAATATATTAAAAATAACAAGAGCCAAAATAAAAAACACTTAAATAGTGGTGTATACAAACTCCAATGTGGCGACTGCCCAAAAACTTACATCGGTCAAACTGGTAGAAACTTTGATAAACGAATAGCAGAACATAAAAGGGCTTTCAAGAATAGAAAAACAGATTCGACATACGCACTTCACCTTCTAGATCATAATCATTCTTTTAATGACAAATTTAAAATTCTTCACATTCAAAATAAAGGCCTTAAGCTATCTTTGTTAGAATCTATGGAAATCAACAAATTAAAAAACACAGATATAATTCTGAATGACCAACTTGAGACAAACAGTTCTCCCCTCCTCAACCTATTTCATTAGAGACTATAAATTTGTAAACCCAAGCCAAAATAGATCACTTGAGAAAGGCAATCAGCCGAAACAGCTGTAGTGATAATATTTAAAATAAATTTTGTGGAAGTTTGAAAACAAAGTTTTCAGTGTTTTATTGTTACATAAAATGAATTTCCATCAAGTAACGGTCGAATCCATCAATTACTCCTAGATCTATTTAACACAATATATAGAAATGGAATAATACCTAGGGAATGGCTCCGATCGACCTTTATACTACTGCCAAAAAAGGCAGTACACAAAGGCACAAAGGAATGCAACGAATATCGTACGATAGCTTTGATGAGTCATGCTCTAAAACTGTTCTTAAAAATAATCCATAATAGGATCTATAGGAAATTAGACGTAGACATCAGTAACACTCAGATGGGATTCAGAAAAGGGCTGGGTACAAGGGAGGCTCTGTTTGCAATGAACGTTCTCTCACAGAGATGCTTAGACATAAACCAAGAAATTTACGATTGCTTTATTGATTTCGAAAAGGCCCTTGACAAAGTACAACATCAACCACTAAGACAAGTTCTAATAAAGAAAAATATAGACAGCCGAGATATTCGAATTATATGCAATCTATATTGGAATCAAACAGCAAATGTCAAGGTTGAGGGCAGACTAACAGAAGAAATTTAAATCCGTCGAGGAGTCCGGCAGGGATGTATCTTATCGCCACTTTTATTTAATCTGTATAGTGAAGCTATCTGTGAACAAGCACTCGAGGAAGAAGATCTTGGTCTGATAATAAATGGTGAGACGATCAACAATATAAGGTATGCTGACGATACAGTTCTCCTAACGGGAACGCTAGTAGAACTACAACATCTCGTTCAAAGTCTCAATATATACTGTAACAGTTACGGCTTGAAAATTAATTTGAAAAAAACTAAATTTATGGTAATCACGAAATCAAAGAACATCAGAGCTAATCTTGTAATAGACAATACAACGATTGAGCGTGTGCCCTGTTATAAATATCTAGGTGCTTGGATCACAGACGATACTGATCAAACAAAAGAGATTAGATGTAGAATAGAAATCGCTAGATCAGTCTTTAATAGAATGCGCAAACTCTTTTGCAATCGTGATATCAATATAAAGTTACGAATACGAATGCTGCAGTGTTATGTCTTTTCTACCCTGTTATATGGAGTTGAGGCTTGGACACTAAAACAGTTGACCATAAAAAACATCGAAGCTTTCCAGATGTGGTGCTATAGGCGCATTCTCAGAATATCATGGATGGACCGCGTCACTAACACGCAAGTACTCCAAACTTTAGACAAAAGATGCGAAATTCTAAATGAGATAAAAACTAGAAAGATTTCATACTTGGGGCACATTGTGAGAGGTGAAAAGTACGAACTTTTA